ATTTTTTTCCTAATGAATGGCCTATTTTCCCAGCACCATTTCTTCAACAGTCCCTTATTTTCCCTAGCTTAGATATACTGATTTTTTTTCCTTTTTTGACAAGGGGAACATCCAACGATGCTTAGAGGATCCGAGGTGGCACTGGGGTTTGAACCCAGACTTGCAAGGCAAGTGCACTACCGGCTAAACCAGCCTCCTATACTAAATTTTCCCCCTCATACTAAATTCTTGTATAAACATGACTCACTTTCCTCACTATTGTATTTTTATTGTTCTGATGCCTTTACTTCCTTAATTCCCATTTACTCAATAATGGTATAATCTAGCTTTTACACACAACTCTCCTTGAACTCATTAACTCAGTGCGTTAATGACCTTCATGTCACCAAAGCCAATGGCTATTTTTCAGTTGTTATCTTCTTGAATGTCCTTTATCAGTCTCCCCCATAGACTGCATGATATAACCTCCCTCGATTTTTCTCCCAAAAAATGTCATCATCAGGACAATTGTTCATTAAGTACTCTGTGTCAGACACTACTGAAGCATTTCATATGCCAAATATGTCAAGTGTATGTGCCATATATGTGTGTATATATGGGCCGAGCATCCTCCACCCAGATCCTCCAAATTCCAGTAGGCGGGGGTCACACCCACCAACTGGCCCCCTGGCGCCGTGTAATCCCATCAGAGGCCAAGACTCAGAGACTATAAAAACCAGCTCCCGGAACCACGCGGCCGCATTTGCGGCTGCGCGACATCTTATTATGACATCTTATTCCTACTTTGGACAAACTGGCAGGCTACCGAATGTAGCCTGCCCACACGGCAGAGTCTGGCAATCTCCCCGTGGCGTACCCAATATGCCAAATACCAGTAACAATGATGGGTCTCATTCTCCTAAAGAGCCTTGAATATAATCTCAGGGCTAGGATGAAGGAGACGTTACTGGAGCCTGCTCGAGGCAATCGACGAATAACAGGATGATTTGTGATTTGTGATTTGTGATATATATATATAGAGAGAGAAAGACAGACAGAAAGCGCGTGCTTTGCCACAACCATCCAATGTAGATAGCAATGGAAATGTAGATCGTAGTGATAGCATCATTCCAGGTGAGAATACTAAAACTTGAAGAATTAAACTCTCCAATTCAAGATCTCTGAGCTACTATGTTATTATGTGGCACAATGGAGTTTCCCTTCTCTCTCTCTCTCCCTCCCTTCCTCACTCAGTCCTTCACTCCCTTTCCTCCTTGTGCAGGAGATCAGACTTAGAGCCTTACACATGCAAGGTTAGTAATCTCCCACAAAGGGACATGGAAGAAGGGACTTTGAACCCAGGTCTGTCTGCAGCCAAACTCGTACATTCCTAAGCATGCCCCTTCCTAGCCTTTCTTTTCTTGCCCCCCCCTCCTCCCCCCTCCCTTCCTCATTTTAGGTCACATCTTGCGTTAGTGCTCAGGGTTTACTCCTGGCTCTCAGCTCGGAGATCACTCCTAGGAGGCTGGGGGACCATATGGGGTGCTGGAGATCGAACCTGGGTTGGTCGCGTACAAGGCGAAGCACCCTTCTCACTGTACTATTGTGCCGGTCCCTCTAGCATATCTTTTTATTTCCCTCTTGTGTTGCTTTTTCTCCAGCTTCCTTTAAATAGAGGCTTCCCCAGAATCCACTCTTGCTCCTACTCTTCTCCATTTTACTAGGCATCCTGGGGGAAAGCAGGCCATTCTGATGCCCAGTTCCAATGCAGCTGCGCTGACATATCTATGCCCAGATGGTCCTGGCAGGAAAATGCTGCTTTTTATTACAAATCCCTGGAGTTTACTCCATGCCTGCTCCCCATCCCAACTGCAGAAAGCCTTTTAATTTTGACTTATTTGAGTTTACATTATTTGATTTTCTATGTATATGCATCGTATTTGTAACTGGGACAAACAGGAAGGATATTAAAATATAATGGAAACAGTAGATTAGACTCTTAAGGGGCCGGAACAGTTCCATTCTTTCAAACCTCTGATATCAAAGCATTTCTGGGGCCACAGAGATAGTCGAGGGGATCTAAGGCACTTGCCTTACCTCCTGTCAATACTAATTCAAATCTCCAGCACCACATAGGGGTCCCTTGAGTACCACCAGGGGTTACTGATGAACAAAGAACAAGGAATAGCCTCTGAGCACCGCCAGGTGTGGCCCCCCAAACAAACCAACATTCTAAGGTGTTTCCCATGTAAGTTAGCAAGAGAACTTGGAGAGCTGACAGTAAGTACTCACTTGGTGATGTAACCATTCCCTTGCTCCAGGGCCTAAGCAACTGGTCACTAATCAGGGTCAAAACAATAAACAAGTCTAATAAAAAAGCATAAGTATGCAGCACTCAGTACAATAACTAGAATTTGATATAAACCTGTCACTGTCACTGTCCTCCCATTGTTCATCGATTTGCTCGAGCGGGTCCAGTAACATCTCCATTGTGACACTTGTTACTGTGTTTGGCATATCGATTACGTCACGGGGAGCTTGCCAGGCTTTGCTGTGCGGGCAAGATACTCTTGGTAGCTTGCCGGGCTCTCCGAGACGGGCGGAGGAATCGAACCTGGGTGAGCCGGGTCGATATCAACCTGGATATCTAAATTTTATGAAGATGTGGTACAAATACACAATGGAATACTACACAGCAGTGAGGAACGATGAACTCTTGCAATTTGCAGCCAACACGGATGGAACTGGAAGATGACATGTTAAATGAAGCTAGAAGAAGGATAAACACATGATGCCTATACTATCTGTAATACCAAACATGTACTATCTGTGCATCTGTCCACTGTCCTCCCGTTGTTCATCGATTTTGCTCGAGCAGGCCCAGTAACGTCTCCATTGTGAGACTTCTTGTTACTGTGTTTGGCATATTGAATACTCTCGGTAGCTTGCTAGGCTCTCCGAGAGGGGCGGAGGAATCGAACCTGGCTCTGCCGGGCTGGCTGCGTGCAAGGCAAACGCCCTACCACTGTGCTATCACTCCAGCCCCCAAAAGGCCTACAGCACCCAGTATTCCCAGGCGGTCTCCCATCCAAGTACTAACCAGGCCCGACCCTGCTTAGCTTCCAAGATCAGCCGAGATCAGGCGCGTTCAGAGTGGTATGGATACTGTGCATCTGTATGTACATACAAATGTACGGTTGCTCCAACCTTCTTTTGCTATCTAAATCCATATATTCATCTACCTGCCATGGAAGAGCCTCCTATTTCTCCATAGGTTAGACCACTTGGGTTTAGCCTTCCAAAACGAAAGGTTTTTTTTTTGTTTTGTTTTGGGGCTATATCTGCAGGGTTAGGGTTTACTCATGGGACTGTGCTCAGCGTTCCCTCCTGGCAGTGTTTAGGGAACCCAATACAGTTTAGGGAATGAATAGAGATCAGCCATGTGAAGTCAAGCACCTAAACCCCTGTATTATCTCTCTAGTCCCAGAACAGAGTTTTTGTTATTAAAAACAACAACAACAACAACAACAACAAAAAACTAGTTCAGGGCTGGAGGTAGTACAGCAGGGAAGATGCATGCAGCCAAGTTGGGTCCGATTCCCAGCACCACATAGGGTCCCCCAAATGCCTCCAGCAGTAGTCCCTAGTGTAGAGTCATGAGGAGGTTCTGAGCACAGCAGAATGTAGCCCAAAATTCAGAAGAAAAAGAAAAAAATCCTAATTCTCTTTATATTAACTCTATTAACTCTATCAACTTTATATTAACTCTACATTTGTCCCAAGTCAGAAATCTGGACCTCATTCTAAGTACTTATTTTGCCTTTACACCCCAGTGCAAGTCCTGAGCAAGTCCCATTGATTCAAATGTGTAGACTTGATCAAATCTATTTCTTCTTCCCTATATCAGTAGCTGTTTCACTCTTGAACTTCCTGTATTGCAAACAATAATGCCTAAAGAGAAAGAGAAGAAAAGTGTCTGCCAATGAGACAGGCTGGGTGTGGGTTGGTGGGTGGGAAACTGGGGACATTGGTGGTAGGAAATGTACGTTGGTGGAGGGATGATTGTTGGAACATTGTATGACTGAAACTCAGTAATGAATAACTTTGTAACTGTGTATTTCATGGTGATTTAATTTTAAAAAGTGTCTGCTCCATGCACTAAAGACCCTGGCTAGGTATACTCAAAAGGCACCTTCTTGTATTAGGGAGGAAGGTTGGGCCGCACCTGGCTGGACTCAGGGCTTACTTCCAGTTCTGTGCTTGGGGATCACTCCTGCCATGCTCAGGGGACCCTATGCAGTGCCAGGGATTGAACCGACGTTGGCTATATGCAAAGTGCTTTAATCCCTATCTTAACTCTCTGGCCCTTGAAAATGGTTTTGTTTGCTTGTTTGGCTTTGTACTTTGGGGTTTGGGAGCCACACCTGGCAGTGCTCAAGGTCTTCTCCTGGCTCTGTATAGAGGGTTTACTCCTAATGTTGCTTGGGGACCCACATGTAATACCCAGAACAAACCCTGGGTTTGGGGTTGCTCCCTGGCAGTGGTCAGAGGATAATTTGGAGCCATAGACTGAACCAAAGTGAGGTAAGTGCAAAACAAGTGCCTTAGCCACAATGCTATCTCTATGAGCCAAGAAAGACACCCTTATTTTTTATTGACTACCAGTCTTTTGTTTAGTTTTGGTTTTGAGGGGGCACACCTAGCAATACTAAGGATTTACTCCTGCATCTACACTCAGGAATTACTACTAGTGGTGCTTGGGGGACCATATGAGATGCTAGGAATCGAACCAACCCAGGTTAGTTGCATGCAAGGCAAATGCCCTACCCACTGTATATCATTCTGCCTCAAGAGACACCCTCCTTCTGGTAAAGTGTATGGGGTAGAGTGGTTGTTGGAGTTAAAGATTCAGGTGGAAGTTATGTTGTGAGGTATATGTGGCCTGCCTACCCCATACAGAGAGGGGATCATCTCATTCTCCTGGCCTCCTACCAGTTTCCGGCTCCTACAACTCCCCTTACCTGTCCTCTTTGTTGATCTGATCCCCAAAACCCACTGTGCTAACAATGGTAAGCTTGAGCCCCACGTTGCTCTCTTGAAGGTCATAGGTACTGGCGCGAAGCTGGACTCCAGGCTGTGTGTGCGTGGCTGGCTCGCCCTCGAACTTGGTGTTGAATAGGGTGTCCATCAGCGTGGACTTGCCCAAACCTGTTTCTCCTGAAAAAAACAAAGGAAGATATCAGGGTGCAATCACACACAACGATCCAGCAGCCTTGTTTTAGTGCATATTTCTAAGCCCAAGAAAGAGCACAGAAGACATAAAGTCAAACATCTCTAGACCTTTCTTTATGCACTGAAATGATCTCAAGTTCAGGGCAAAACTAAGACTGTAAGGGAACGACAGTCTCACATTAGCAGGAGTCATCAACAGAGAAAGGGAATCGAGGTTGGGCCATTCTCCTTTCATTCTTTGCATTTTCTGGGTCACTGGAAAATGGAGTGTGTGTTGCTTTGTGAGTCAGGAAAATTAAGTTCCCTTGGGTGAGGGAGATGGATACACTGGTGACGGGTGTGATGTTGAAATTATGTTCATGAGAAACTGGCATTAATATATTGTAAGCCAAATAATATTTTTTTATTTTTCAAACAAAATTTTAAAAATAATCGCTTAAAAGTAACAATACTAGAAGCAGTGATGGAGATATAAGGTTAAGCTTAGAAAAAGACTGGATGTGGGGTTCGAGCGATTGTACAGTGGGTAGGGCATTTGTCTTGCACCTAGCCAATCCAGGTTCCATCCTAGCACTTCATATGTACACTGAAAACCATCAGGAATGATCCCTAATCTCAATGCCAGGAATAATCCCTGAGCATTTTTGGGTGGGGCCCCAAAACAACAAAACATAAAGAAAGATAAAGACTTGATGGCCATACCATCCACTCTTGCCAATGACCATCTCTGGGTGGTGCAATTAAGCATTTTTTTCTTTAGGCTTTTCTATCTTTTCCAAATTCTCTAAGAACATCTGGAGCTTTAGTATTCAAGGGCTATTTCAGATTTCAAGAAAAGTGGAAGTGGTCCTACATCAAATAAATATTCTCTCCTCTCTGTCTCATCTGACTTCTCTTCCAGGTATAGACATCTTCAGATATCCACACGTAATAAACTCTAAGGAGACAAGGTATGGCCTGGCTCAGTTCTTGAGTGAGACCATTTCCAGCGAAGGAGGAGGAAACATCAAGTTCCAAAGTCTTTCAGCAAGGTCACTCACTGGTTTGTTTAACAGGCTGTAAGATGCTCATAAATTAAGTTATTGGAATTTCAGAAGTCTTGACTTTTATAGCAGGGAAATAAGTGAAGGAAGAACTGTGGGTGACACCTTTTTGAAGTTCATTTATGAGGAACCCAAAGTTCATCTAGGTACTGGCAGGAACCTGGGAATTGAGAATGTGGAAGGAAAACTGGTGGTAAGGTCATGTGGCATAAGACAACAAACTAGATGGGACATATGCGCACTGCTTCCCATCTCTATGAACTCCCACTGGGTCCAGATAATAGCTAGCCATGGCCATTTGGGACTACCAGAAAGCAGACAGTTAACTATTCATAACCTTCAACTTCTCTTTCAATACAGGTTTCCCCTGCTGTGCAAAATGAGACCATTTCAGGCCAGAGTGATAGTACAGTGGGTAGGGTGCTTGCCTTGCATGCGGCTGACCCAGGTTCAATCCCCAACATCCATAGGGTCGCCCAAATACCACCAAGAGTGATTCCTGAGCACAGAGCCAAAAATAAGCCCTGAGGATCACAGAGAGGCCCCCTTAAACCCCACCAAGAAAAGGAGACCGTTGCTCTTTGGTAGGGTTAATAGTTAATGGTTTAGGATCTGGGAATTCTCACATTCCCCCAACCCCCCATAGAAATATAGACCCAGAGCCCAAAACCAATTCTACCAATCCGAAAAAAGAGGAACTCTTTTCTTTCAGGGAGAGGGAGAAATTAGCATCTAGATGCCCTGCTCTTCTGCTCCTACCACCGTCTTTCCTCTTCCCTTGCTCCTATCCCTGAGCTGTGGGCATGGACTTGCCTTCACAGTGAGGAGGGGGTTTGCACTGGGCAGGTCCAGGCCTGTCTGAACAGCTCAGCACAACACAGCAGAAACATTCCTACAGGGCCTCCCAGGGCTGGTCTTCATCGACAAAGAGCTTTTAGCCCTCTCCCCTCCATCCACTGGAGTGTCTAGCTTTGTACTTGCCACCTCCCCTTGAGGTAAGAATTGTGGAAGTGATCTTTTGTTTCTTAATTGAATCACAGTGAGAAACGAAGTTGCTCATGATTGACTTTCAGTCATACACACCCACCCCTTCACCTGTGTCCACTCCATCCATTAAGCACTCCAGTTTTCTTTTTCTTCTTTTTGTTTTTGCTTTTTGGGTCACATCCGGCGATGCACAGGGGTTACTCCTGGCTCTGCACTGAGGAATTACCCCAGGCAGTGCTCAGGGGACCATATGGGATGCTGGGACTCGAACCCGGGTCAGCCGTATGCAAGGCAAACGCCCTACCCGCTGTGCTATTACTCCAGCCCCTAATGTCTTCAGTTTTCCTCTCTTCCCCCAGCCTGCCTCTATGGCAGACACTGTTCCTTTTTTTTTTAGGTATTGTGGTTTGCAACACTTTTACTGAAAAGGTATCATGCATATCACTTTACCTCCTTTCAGCACGCAGTTCTCATCCACAATGATCACATCCCACTATCTTGTCATAGAGGTCTCTTCTCTGCAATATCCGCCCTACTTCCCCACCATTGTGACAGGTTCCCTTCTAAGAACCAATTCTCCTGGTTTCATTTCTATTGTCTTTGCGTATTATTCTCCTATTGTTTCTTTAGATACCACAAATGACTGCGATCATTCTACGCCTGCCCCACTCCCTATGGAAGTGATATATTTTGTTTTGTTTTGTTTTGGGGCCACACCCAGCAATGTTCAGGGCTTACTCCTGGCTCTATGCCAGGCTTCACTCCTGGCAGGGCTAGGGTACTCGTATGGTGTGAATCCAGGTCAGTCACGTGCAAGGTAAGTGCGCTACCCACTGTACCACCTCTCTGGCCCCTATTTTGAAAAGATGTGTCTATGGTGAAGAGCTTGGAGGCGGCACCCTGAAAAGAGGGGTGGAGTGAAGAGGGGCAGGGGCAGAGAGAAGAGAGTAATGAAGAAAGGAGGGAGGGGAAAGGAGGAAGGAGATGGGGGAGATAAGCACCAGAGAAAACAGCCAAGAGATGGTACAGTGGCTAGGCACGTGTCTAACATGCATCTGTGTTTGATTCCTGGCATTACATGGTCCCTTGAGTATCTCTGGGTCTCACCCTTGAGACCCCCCAGCACCTCCCAGGTTTCCCTGCCTGGCATTGCAGGGCCTCAAATAGCAATAAATACTCAGGTCCTGAATCAACTGCCCAGTTGGCTGAAAATTGTTGAAAGGGCCCCCTAAGGCATCCTGAGCACAGTTTGGGAGACCCCCAATTAAATAAAAATAAGAAAAAAGAGGGGAGAGGTAGAGAGAGGGGGAAGGGAAGGGAAGAGAGGGAGAGAGAAGAGAGTGGGGAGGACGGTGTGACAATATCAAGGAGGGGACATAGAAGAAAGGAGATTTTAATTCACATTCATGGTGACTCAATTTAAAAAAAGAAAGGGAGTTGGGCAGAGCAATAGCACAGCGGGTAGGGCGTTTGCCTAGCACGCGGCTGACCCGGGTTCTATCCCCGACATCCCATATGGTCCCCTGAGCATTGCCAGGAGTAATTCCAGAGTGCAGAGCCAGGAGCAACCCCTGAGCATCGCTGGGTGTGATCCACAAAAAAAGGGAGAGAGTGAGGGAAAAGGGAGAGAGGGAGAGAGGGGAGAGGCGGAGAGGAGAGGAAGAGAGCAGGAGTGAGAGAACAAGGAAAACATTCAACTGGGTTTGGCTATCCACACACACACACACCCAAACACACACACACACACACACACACAAATCATAGCCAGGTCTGACTCATGTGGCTCACCGCTGGGATGCTGGCAAAGGTTCCTCCTTATCCCATCACGTGACTCATGGACTGCTCAACCTAGCAAGTGTTTTCCCAGAATAGAGTCCCCCCTTTTTTTCTCCCTAAAGGAATGGGATGGGAGTGTGTTTGTGTCCAAAGAAAGAAAAGCTAGGTGAGGGGCTGGACACAAAGCAACCCGGGTTCAATTCCTGGCATCTCATATGGTCCTCTGAGCACTGCCAGGAGTAACTCCTGAGTGCAGAGCCAGGAGTAACTCCTGGGCATCACTGGGCGTGGTCCCAAAACCAAGACCGAAAAAGAAAAGAGAATAGTGTAGTGGAGCAGGGGAGGTGTGCGTGGTGGGAGAGAGAGAGAGAGAGAGAGAGAGAGAGAGAGAGAGAGAGCAAAAAAAAAGAACAAAGCAAAGCAAAGTAGGTGAGCTGGATCTATCGGTATGGAAAGGGACAGACTTAAGCAAGATAAGGAATATGTCTGTGTCTGTGTGGTTCTCTCTCTCTCTCTCTCTCTCTCTCTCTCTCTCTCTCTCATAACACACCAGGGCATGGAAGGGGTGCTGTCTCATAAACATCCATGTAGAGTTGAGGGGCTCACCATGTTTGCACAGCTGGAGCCAGAGAGGCCCCTTCTGGAGGGCAGGGCACAGCAAGCTGGCAGCAGGAGAAAGGCCCCGTGGGCAAACCTGCCAGTGCAAAGGTCCAGGGGAACAGCAGGTAGGAAGAGGCTTGCAGAGAATCCCCCGAACTCAGGCTCTGGCTCTAGGCTGCTCCAGGTTTGCTGTGCCATCAGTGTGGGGGGAGGGCACCCCTCTGCATGGATGGCACAGATCCAGCCTGAGCCGAGGATGCTGTCCTCTCCCATACTGCCTTGGGGCCAGTATGTTTGTGAGGGTGTTGCTGGTCACTAACATGGATGGAGCAGCAAATTCTTCCGCCCTAGAAGGTGGAAACACTTGGAAACAGATCCCAGCAGGAACTCTGAGGAGTCTCCAGCAGTCAATCTTTCTCCTCCCCACCCCCAGGACTTCTTAACCCTTCTTATGTCATTTCCGCCAAGTGTTCTCCCCTGGCTTCAAGCAGGCAGTGCTTCAAGCACCCTATTTGAAAAGAATTTACATTTACAACATGGAAGGGCCGGAGTGATAGAGCAGCAGGAGTTAGCCCTGAT